CTTTTCTTGAAAAGCAATATTTTGAATCCTTGAATAATTTTTCTGATCGTTTTCTCATTGGAAGGTCTAGAATAAGTTTACAAATTCGAGTTTGTATTTGTATATTCGGCATATAAATCGCTGGTTGTATGAGATATAGGGAAATTTTATTCACGAAAACACCGGTCTCACTTAAAGAAAAGCGTCCCAATGCATTTCTGAGTTGTACTGGAAATCTGTAGCATCCTGGTGTCTTGTCACATCCACACATAATTTAATGGCTGCCCTTACCTCGACGTCTCTCATAGACGTGATGATTTGATTTGTAGGTTAGTGACAACGTTATTGAATTTTTTTAATATCCATAAATAAACACCGACAAATGACGTCAAAAAATACACAGGGCAGCAAACATTAATTTTGACGAAGTTATACGCTATTGAAAAGGCCTTCAAAATGAATGCCATTTAATTCAAAAAAGTATAAGAAGCCTCTTTTTATGTGCTCTAGGCCTGCGGATGTGCGTTTTGTCGACACTCACTGACTTTACAGCGAACAATATAAAATATATGTTTTTGAAAATGTACACCTGTGAGGACAGTCATTTAATGTTCCAAAGAAATGCAAAAATAATGCCGCTAAATGAACAGTCTACTAACGCTTGATTGTCCCTCGAACGCTTGCACACTCGCGCGTTCAAACACCAATCCCTTCATCCATCCATCAAAACATACAAATCTACATTCAAGTCTTCAGCTACTGAATATTATCACGGAATACAACAACCGGAAGCACATAGGAATTTGTGAATCATCAAATATATAAGAAATCAACCAAATAAAAAACAAAATATAAACAAAACAAAAAATTAAAACCAAACCAAAAATGTACAACAGTAACAATTTTAAATCTTAAAACACAAAAATGACGAAAAAAAACCCACAAAAAAGCTATTATTATTAAAGAAAAAAACACGAAAGAATAGAAACCTCAAAAGTCCTGTAACAGAAAGGTTTGGTGATTTTGAGCAAAACATTGTGCTTGCATTAGGCTTTTGACTTGAAAGGTAATAAATGGTGGTAGAAAAAAAGATAATAATTATCAATTATAACGCAAGACTTTAAATGAATTGTTTTGATGTCCGTACTTACGGAGATTTTATAAATGAAGATTACAAAAAAAATAAGTACAGGTATATCGAAAAATTGTAAATCAAATGTCTAAGCGTGAATACGAAGTCTCGTTAGGATGATCGATTTGATCCTCACGGTGTTCCACAAAAATCCTGCAAAAAATTCTTTTAGTTCACTTTTATACCTAGAGCCACTGAAAAAATAAACAAAGAAATTAGCAGCAAAGTTCAGTTCTCTCAATCTGGCAGCAATTACGTCCGCGACATCATTAATCCTATACTCAAAAACCGCTATAAATGTCAAAATCATCTCTGGCAAATTTGTCACCAAAAATATAATGTTTTAAGTAAGAATCATCTTCACAACTGATTTCTTTTTCTTTATCTTATTCTGTAAGCTGACTGTTTTCAAATAATATACTGTGATGCATGAACAAATCATAATGATAGAATATGGCAGAAAAACGCTATAGAGGGTTGACGCGATAGTGTAGAATGTGTCGTTCCATTCATTGAGGGCAACAACTTCACATACTGTGTCAGTCATATAGGCATAATCCTCATCAAAACAGTTTTTGTCATCGATTTCTAAGTCAGTACCGTATTTGCTTTGCAATGCTGATGTAAACAAAATAGCCTCCACTATTGCGACTGCAGCCCATACCATTACGACTGTAATTTTGGATACTGTGACTGTACATATTTTCTTCACATCAAATGGAAATACAACACATAAACATCTTTCAATTGAGATAACAGCCAGTAACCAATTTGATATACTTATAAAAACTATCCCTATATACTTTCGCAGGAAACAGTCAAATTCTGAGTAGGCTTCAGCAATAATGCGATGTCCTTGTAGCCATTGCACTAAGGTGTAAAAACCACTTGCTAAATCCGCGACAGCAAGTGCTATCAGGAAAACCGCTGTCGAAAATTTACGATTCCTTTGTTTCATCAAAATGAAAATGATAAGAATATTAGACAGGGACCCTATCCAAATAGTTAATCGTATATACTCAGATATTGTGATAATTTTTTCCTCGAATGTGTCCAGGTAATAGTCATCATACAAGTAGTCGTACGTTTCGCATGGTCCGTGATTGTTGGGTTCGTCAAAGTAATAACTATCATTATCATGTAATACATCAGTCATTGTATCATTCAGATTATTCCAATGCTCGTCGAAAATCATCTCGGCTGTATTGTCAGCAATAAGTGTCGTATTGTTAAACATATTCCCATCTACCTTCTGGTTTATTATCTCTTCCATTTGATATTCCCGCGACGTTGTATTGGAAGATTTGAGAAGATTTAGACTTTATATACTGACAGAGAAAGATGTGAAACCAATAAAACGGCTGTTTTATTTTCTAAGGTTGGCCAACTCATGATTTCATTTATTGAATTATATATTGACAAATAGCAACGGCTTGTCATTTCTTTATATCAAACTTGATACGCTATACTACATTGATGATGTTTTCAACATTTCTCTTACAATAATTTTGATTTGAAATTTAAATTCCTTTCGTTTCGTGCTATATTGAAATATCATTGTTCGGATAAGTAGCTTTTAAATAGTACATAAAGGAATTGTATGTAATAACTTTTTTCGAATGTACATGGAATTGACTTTAAGTCAAATATTTCTCTTTCAAATCTTATGTATTAGCACACGGTAGCTTAAATATATAACATATTAGAATAAATTCAAACTTTGAATGCTCATACAATATAATACAATTTATCATAAACGATTTAGACAAAAATAATTGGTGAAACTTACCCCATTTTCAGGGTAACTTTCCTTGAATTTGATTTCATAGCTTTATTGATTATTTCAAGGGCAGATTACCTGTACATAAGACCTATAAATTCTATTTTTACTATTACTTTAAATTTCTGTTTTTTATTTTTGTCCTTTGTCACGTTTCAAATTTCATTGCTTTTCATAAAATATTTGTGTCCGCTACATGCACACTTGAAGTAGAAATTTTGAAAAAGATGCCATTTTTAATGAAATTTGTCTAGCTTTCAGTAAAGAACAAACTTTTTTACAAACTAGCCATAACCTATTTTGCACAACAGTCAGCTACTTGAAATGCAGAATAAACATTTTTTGTCTTATTTGCCCTTGAAATAAGCACAATTTTCAAATTCAGTGGCACATAACTCGACATGATATATCCAATATTTTCCCTGAAACTATTTCGTGTATCAAATCATACACTATTTATTATATGCAGCTTTATTTTCCAACGGATATGTTTAGCTCAAAACAAATAGTCGAAGAATCAACAGGAAGTATCTCGTTGTAGCTTGAATTCGAACTCGTGACCTCCCGCTCTAGACCATTGTGAAACGCAAAAATAACATAAATGAACGAAATCTTATATCGCCCGGTAACAAATTACTAAAGCACAAACCTATTTTCACACTATTTATGTAAGTGAAGAAAGCTCTACTTATTTAAGCCGCTGTCTTTCCTTGAAATGCCCAAACATAGTTACAAGTTAACAATGAAGGTAACAATAACCTCTAAGCAACAGCCTGCTGTCTTATTTTGTTGCTCTGTTTTGCCACGATAATATATCTAATAAGTATGTCATATAATGCATGTCACTATCTAAGTCATGATGATACAAATATCTTTTTTTAGATAATTTATACCACAATGTAAGATACACGGCATTTTATGGTAAAGCATGAGTGTCAATATCTTATAGTCCTGAAGACATACTGAAATACTATAATACGGACTGTGAAGCTTTAAGACAATTAATAAATAATCTTAGAGACTAGTGATGAGAATAATAACTATAAGAAAGTATTAAAATAATCATATGAATAGATTTAAAATATTTCAAACACATGTAGCTATAAAACATAATTCATATGTACCAGGACATGCACTCATAAACAAATGATGATACTATAAAGTAAAAATACTTGTTTACATTGTGGTCCAGGATGTACAACGACATCCCCCAGCAAGGCACACATACTTTGAATCTTGAAACATAAGTAGATTGCATAAGCCATTTAATAAATAAACGAATACATTATAAAAAAATTTAAATGCGTGATTTTAAACACTTAAAAATATGTTTAAAACTGCACCCTTGATTTTTAAACTTTATATTATATTTTGTAGTAGTTAATTCTACAGAGAACAATTATTATGCGAAAAACTGATACGAAAGTACTTAAACAACAATGACGTAATTAAAATAAATATAATAATTACATAAATAGATAAATAAAAGATTACATAAACTGATAAATAAATTGATAAAGGAACAAACAAGAAAAAACTGAATATGATTGTCTTTGATTCATTTGATAATGAACTGAATGTTCTTACACAGAACCTAAAAAATTGTCTTTAATTTGATTGATAAATCATTACAAGTTCCCAAACGACATTGACTGTTTATGCGATGTCTGAAAACTTCGAACAAGGAATCTGTATTTCCATTAATAAGACTTGACTTATATGATTCAAGATATGCTTTAAGTACATTGAAAAATAAACAAAAACCACAACAACATCAACAAACAAACAAACATGAGGAATACAATATTAAGGTATTACACATGTACATCCTAATGCATTACCTCCGCTTTGAAATGTATTCAAATAGGCTAGAACTACTGTTAAACTACATTGAAAATGAGGGCCGTGGGTTCAATCCCCAGAAGGGTCAACTTTTCTTTCTTTCTTTTTTTTTTTAACATTATTTATGTATCTCTCATATCCCATTTGGAAAGAAAAAAGTGTTCAATTTTGATTTTTTTAAATTTATATAGGTATTTATTGGCTAAATTATACTAAATCTAGAAATAAATATGGTACCTGATATTTTAAAAGTGTAATAAAATCAAAACTAGACGGTAAAAGTATTTAATATTTTACAAGATCAACCAATATACTTCTTTAAAAATTTAGGAAAACTTTGAAAACAGGCACTCATTTGGGTAAATTTTAAGGATTTTTTAAATTGGGCTCCCTAAGTAGGAAAATGGTCAGACACATGGTAGGGTAACATTTTTATACAGATTTCATAAATTTTAAGAAGAAACCATAATTTTGGGTCGTAATACCTTAAGATTTAAAACGTGTTTTAAACGGGTATAAAATGTAATTTAGCTATTCAAAATTGAGAGAAATTCGTATAGTATAAAAGTGTGATCAAGAATTGGGTCAAGTTTGTCAATATTCACTATTTTTCTTATATACATGTATCTTATTTTATTGTTTATTGCCACTATATACAATGTATACACGCTATCGTTTGCGTCCCTGGCACTAGCTTTGGCAGAAATTTACATTAAAACATGATAATAGTAATTACATGAACAGAAACATCCACAGATATGCTTATATAATGATAATCAATTCTAATATTCAGCGATCAGTAGGTTACTAAACTATTAAGCTATAAGCCGATAGTTCCTTATTCTTCTTCTTTGTTGTTGTTGTTGTAAGGTTTACCTGGTCAACTCTCTTATCAAATTGATAAACTTATTTCAACGTCCATTTCTTATATCTATTTATCATAAAACGTATGTATACAAAATAATACAGATAATTTAAATGACAAAGATACAAAGTTCAATACAAACTAAGTTCAATACAAATTAAATAGCTCATTACGGTGGCGAAAAATCAACCAAGATACCTCGCGTCAAATTATGAATGCTATATTGTAAAATTTCAATCTTCTAAAGTGTCATTTTAAATTTTATTAAAATGACCATGAAATCATGAAGTCCTAAATATATTTATTTTAATCATACTTCTTTTGTTAACATTCGTTCGATACTTTAAAAGACATTCAATACGCAGTAAATTTCACGCACTGTAAAGAAAAATGTGGTGTACACTTATATGGTTGTTTTCACTCCTGTTTTATTAAATTTATTAATCTTGTAAGCTTAAAAAGAAGACTAAGTGTTGAATATACAAAATACTGAAATCAGGATGGTGTGTACTATGGTAACTTTATTATTTATCTACGTACACATATGTAAAGGTATGTTGATTTGTTATCAATAAATAAGTATAATTGCTTCAGTAGAGTCTTTGAATTTGACCATACTCTGTGAACTGTATTTTTACATTGTTTTTAATAAAACATGAACTTTTTTATTAGAAAAGAATATTTGTATACATATTATTAACTCTTACCGAACTTATTTTTAGCAATTGCGAGTAAAGAAACTGGCTGTTCTAGTAGACGATGGGGCATCAATTGTACGAACACGTGTCCTAAATTCTGCTCGTCAAACGGATGCGACAAAATCACCGGTTTTTGCTATGGATGTAACGGCGCTTTTCAAGGAAAATACTGTGACATACCATGCCCTTCGCCATGTTCGTCTTGCAATCAATTTATTGGAGAATGTACAAGCTGCTATGCTAGCTGGTATGGAGTTAATTGTGACATACCGTGTCCAATTAATTGTAAGAGCTGTAGGAAATATGACGGTGCATGTTTGTCTTGTACAGATGGCTGGTATGGAAATATATGTGACGGACGTTGCTTTTCAGGACCAGGTTGTGCTAGAAACTATTGCACTATGTCAACTGGCGATTGTACTTATTGTAAGAATGGATGGTACGGATCAAAATGCAGGCAACAATGCAAGAAGTGTTTCGGTGCATGTTCAAAAGATTCTGGAGTATGTACTCACTGTGTTTCAGGATTTTGGGGACCAGATTGCACAAAGAACTGTTTAGGGACGTGTGAAATGTGTGGTAGATATGACGGGAAATGTTTGCTGTGCCCGGACAAATACTTGGGATCAAGCTGCTCAAGCCTCTGTGACTCCGAAAACTGCGAGAGATGTGATGTGAATACAGGAATATGCAAAAAGTGTAAAGCAGGTTACTGGGGTAAGGACTGTGAGATACAATGTATCAATTGTATCGACAAAAAGTGTGATATTTCATCCGGCTTATGTGAAACGTGTCAGGAGGGGTATGCAGGCAAATATTGCAACATAAGATGTGACACATCTAGATGTTCAAATTGGTACTGCAATAAAAGAGAGGGATTTGCCTGCTCCTCTTGTAAATATGGGTATTGGGGCAACTATTGTGAAAAGGAATGTATCGGAGAAAATTGCGGACAGTGCAGTAAATCTGAGGGGACATGTATCACATGCACCTACGGTTTTTGGGGGGATTCCTGTGAGAAGAAATGTCAAGTTAACTGCAGACAAAGCTGCAATAAAAGTTCCAGTGCCTGTGATTATGTATGTGATGAGAGTTCCTTACCTTACTACCAACAGTGTTCTTCAAGGACGTATTGTAAAGCAGGATATTGGGGATCATGGTGTGAAAATAAATGTTTAGAAGAAAGTTGCGAGAAATGTGATGTATCATCTGCCTTTGGGCTTTGCTCCAAATGTAGACTGGATTCTGGGGACATAATTGTTCTAGTAGATGCTCTATTGACAAATGAATTGAATGCAATATAGATGACGGTCACTGCACACTGTGCAAGAATGGATTTTGGGGAAGGAATTGGCGATTTACAATGTCCTGATCGGTGCCGATGTTGTGATGCTGTCTCTGGTATTTGTATGCAGGACAAGTGCTTAAATATAATCAACCAGCAGAATGTATCAGGTAGCCGTGTATTTTATTCTATAGAAGATGAATTAGACTGTTTATAGATGAAACAGCTCACATATATATAATATGTATAACTGCTTTCGTTAAAAAAATCTTCGTTATGGTATAAGAATATAAAAAGCCTTTTAATAAAAAAAACCAAAAACATCTGTTCTGTTTATCCATTCAATATGGTATACATTGAGTATGGTAAGTTTAAAGCGTAGCAAAGCATAGCTGAAATCATGTTTTCTTTTCTTTTTTAGATAATGCCACATTGACGATTGTTGATAGTGTCCTGATTGTTTGTTCAATATTCGTAGCAGTTGTCTTGGTTATCGTATTTATTTTTTGTTTGAGATGGTAGGTCTTACATTATGACGTTATTGAAATTATTAAAGATGTAATTAAAATTAGATTAGATTGAAAGAAATGCTGCTAAGAATTTAAGACATTGGACAAATCGTTTCTTGGATATTGGTTCAGATAGGGACAAAGCAAACTCCAGATCTCCCATTCAAGTTTCATTGGCAAGAGATTTATAATAATAATAATAATAATAATAATATCATTATTATTATAATCATTATTATTTTCATTATTATACATGCACACATTTATCAAATACAGTTATCATGCATTTTGGTGATATTCATTGTGGGCTTAAAATGTAAACAAATTTATTCTACTCTATAACTTGCATAAGGTTTGTCAAAATACAAAATAAGCAATGAATTAACTGTTCGTGATATGAAAGTATCATTTCAAGATCATTGCAAACAAATAATAACATTCAAAACGACTACGTAGTCCTAATAAAATTGTCCTCTGAGTAATTTAGTCATTCTATTAAACTATCCAAACAGGTATTGTTTGCCGTGTACACATTTAATAGTATATTAAAGATAACACATTTCGATTCTTTTAGCCCAATTCTTTAGTCAATCTTTGTGTTTAAGTAATATTCAACATTAAAAAAATACTATACCTGTACATCCATCTAGATAAAAGAAATGCATAAGCAAATTCTCATTTTTTTTTCAACTCCAAAATGTTTTTCTTAGTAATCTTTTTCACATTAAGATTCTTTTCAAGTTTGCCAAAAGTATGGGATTGTTAACAAGATATCTATTATAATTTTATTATTATTAAATGATCAGTTCCCAATATTCACAAGTCTGAAAGTCTCATATCGATTTAGCGAACATACTTTTGTATGATTACTAAGTTTATTTTGCGATGAAAAGTTGTTATATTTGTTCTCTTGATTCAATTTTATATTCATTTCTATCTTGCAGTCTCACAAAGCACAAGAATACCGGAGATAACACAGAGCCAAAGCAGCAGAATACCGGAGATAACACAGAGCCAAAGCAGCAGAATACCGGAGATAACACAGAGCCAAAGCAGCAGAATACCGGAGATAACACAGAGCCAAAGCAGCAGAATACCGGAGATAACACAGAGCCAAAGCAGCAGAATACCGGAGATGACACAGGGCCATCCAGTGATAGTTAGGTTTTTTACAGTGTCTCATTTGAAATTAACTTGAATAATCACTGAAGGATGAAATTGTTGATAAAGTGATTTTTTTATGTTCTGATGTGCATAAAGCAGTGGAATATTTCGCTAGACAAACATCTTTGATTTACATTTAAATACAAATGTGATACAAATCCATTAAAAATGTACACAGTTTAAAATCAGAATTTATGCAGTATCGCCTTCTTGAATTGAATAAGTGACTTAGAAAAACTGATTATTCGTTTGTATGTATCGATCAGTAAAAAGATGTTTTAATTATATATTTTATATTGACTTACTTGCAGAAGTGCCCGGTAAAAAAGAGACGAAAATGTAAACAGAATCAATCACCGCCTGGTAACTTGGAACTATTTTGCGCTTATGCAACACATATGTAACACAGGTGGTTGATAAACACTATTGTAGAAATATACAAAGATCTGCAAACTTATTAACGCAAATATTATGTAAAGTAAGTGTAGAAAACTATTTTGAAATTAGTTTTTATTAAATGATTTTGATTGATTTATGAAGCTTATAACGTTATGCGGCAGAAGCAAGAAAAAATGCACCCAAAGCATTGAAAATAATGTTTTAAAATGAAGAACTTCTTGTTATATACGTATAATTTAAATATATTTTTACTATTGAAAACCAGCCGTAATATTAATTTATTGTTACGCCCATTTTGTGATTGAAATGAGGAAGTCCTTCAGGAATATAATTATGATAGCAGGAAGACGATCAGGGTTGAATCAATTATCTTTGCATGGATTTATTTTATTTTTTATAAACAACTCGTTGTAAAGATATCATTTATATTTTCGCGTTCATTTATTGCAAAAAGATTTTAATCGTTTTTCGTTTTTAATTCATAATATCGATTCATAGTCAAATAGCTAGCATAATTAATGGCTTTTACGAAAGTTAACATTCCTAAGCGAGACCCGACACATAATCATTTAAGTATTTTATTTAAATATAGAAATAAGTTTTTTGCATATACATATATTAGGAGGCAATGCTATAAATGTGGTAATTAAAAATGAATAATTACTTATTTTTCAGTTCCTAAACATACAGAAAAAAGCTATATATATATATATTTGTTTCCATGCCAAATTTTACCTGGCTAATGTGTCGCCTTCATTTCCTTATCATTTTGAATATCAGACATTTATTTTTATCAATATTGTTTCAAGAAATTATTAGATTTATTTTATTTTCCCTTCTATGTTTCCTTTTTGTATTATTATCTCTTGACGCTTTGAACTTGGTGCTTTGAGGCAACAATCATTTCCTTTGTTATAATATTTATACAGTAAAAACTCTAAAAACCGGACCATCTCCGGACTTGATCAAAAGTCCGGTTTTCAGTCTGAGGATTCCGGTTTTCAGAGGTTTTATACATTTATCGATAATTATGATGTGTTTGAACAATGACTTTGTTCAAACATTTTGTTTTTACTTCATAACACTTTTGTCTCAGTCATATTTTAATTTCTTTTAGCAATAGATGTCTTAAGTAATTGTATTATGCAAATCCAATAATATATTTAAAAAAATAGTAATTAAAACAACATTTTATCTGAAATATGTAATTACTGGAATTTGGTATTACTATTTTTGCATATAATACATATCCAAACAAAGATCAAATTTTTTAGCAAAACAGGAATCGTTTTACAAAAGTTTCCAATTCTTTTAGACATTTTATATTAAAAAAAGCAACACAACAAATTAAAAACATTTAGAAAAATCATACTTATACAGGGGAGGCACAATTATAACAAAAGAACTATAGTATGCCTGACTCAACTATGTATAAATTCATGATGTTGCAGGGACGAAATAATACATTGTTAAATAGTTGGTCATGTAATGTAAAAAAGTTATTAGATGACCTTGGTTTTTCTTACCTGTGGAATTGTGATAGAATATCTCAAATGAATGTTAAATTAATTATTCAAAGAATCCATGATCAATATTTACAACAATGGTTATCTGAATTAGGCTCATCTTCTAAATAAGATTATTATAGAGAATTTAAGTTAAACTTTATTCAAGGTAGTTATTTAAATACTGTTAATGTTGAGGCACATATGAAAGCACTAGCGAGATTTATATGTTCATCACACAACTTAGAGATTGAAGAAGGTCGATATAGGAATATTATTAGAAGCAAAAGATTATGTAGAAGATGTAATATGAATCAAGTTGAATCAGAGTATCATTTTTGTTAATATGTCCTTTTTATAGAGAATTACGTTTAAGTCTCTTAGATAATTATTATTACACATGGCCTAATATGAATAAATTCAATAAGCTTATGTCAACACCCAAAATATCTGTTATAATAAAACTTAAAGAAGAGAAACGAGAGTGTTGTTGTATAATATAATATGTGTTTCTTTAAACTATTTTTCATATTTATGCTGAATATTATTAGATATGTTAAATATGCCATGTCATGTATTGTATGTGTTTATGTGTACTTAAAGCTGCCCTTCTTTTGTTAAAACATGAACATGAAACATGAATTATATACTTTCATATTTTTCAATATTATATTACTTTTGTTAATCTAACCGCCAATTATGTGTGGCGAAAAACATGTATATATGTTTATGCTAATAAATACTTTGACTTTGACTATAATTGAATTACCAATAAGAATTAACACACACTAACAAGTGTTTACACACCTGCATAGATAAAAAAAAGATGATCATTAACTGGTAATTGAACATGTCACCTACGGGACTTTCGAAATGGTCCGGTTTTCAGAGGATTCCGGTTTTCAGAGGGTCCGTTTTCAGAGTTTTTACTGTATTAGCTATGATCTAAATGTAATGAAAGCCTATCAAAACATAATTATCAATAAAGCTTTATTTTCTGTGCAATGTTTATTGTGTATCTGATCAACCTTTTCATTTTCTAATAAAGTATACATTTCGGAATATCCCCGATGTAGCTGCAATTCGAACTCGTGACCTCCCGCTCTAGACTATTGTGAAACGCAAAAATAACATAAATGTACGAAATCTTATACCGCCCGGTAACAAAGTACAAATCTATTTTCACACTATTTATGTAAGTGATAAAGTTTTAACTTATTTGAACCGTTGTCTTTCCTTGAAATAACCAAACATAGTTACAAATTAACAATGAAGGTATCAATAACCTCTAAGCAACAGCTTGCTGTCTTATTTTGTTGCTCTGTTTTATCAAGATGATATATCTAATTAGTCTGTCATATAATGCATGTCACTATCTATGTCATAATGATACTTGTACAAATATCTTTTTTTAGATAATTTATATCACAATATAAAATACACGGTATTTCATGGTAAAGCATGAGTGTCAATATCTTATAGTCATGAAGACATACTGAAATACTATAATTAGGACTGTAAATCTTTAAGACAAGTAATAAATAATCTTAGAGACTAGTGATGAGAATAATAACTATAAGAAAGTATTAAAATAATCATATGAATTGCTTTTAAAGATTTCAAACACATAAATCTATAAAAAATAATTCATACGTACCAGGACATGCACTCATAAACAAATGATGACACTAAAAAGTGAAAATACTTGTTTACATTCTGGTCCAGGATGTACAACGACATATCCCAGCAAGGCACACATACTTTGAATCTTGAAACATTAGTAGATTGCATAAGCCATTTAATAAATAAACGAATACATTATGAAAAAGTTTAAATGCGTGATTTTCAACACTTTAAAATATGTTTAAAACTGCACCCTTGATTTTTAAACTTTATATTATATTTTGTAGTAGTTAATTCTACAGAGAACAATTATTATGCAAAAAACTGATACGAAAGTACTTAAACAACAATGACATAATTAAAATAAAAAAATAATCACATAAATAGATAAATAAAAGCTTACATAAACAGATAAATTAATTAATAAAGGAACAAACAAGAAAAATAACTGAATACGTTTGTCTTTGATTTATTTGATAATGAACTGAATGTTCTCACACAGGACCTAAAAAACTATCTTTAATTTGATGGATAAATCATTACAAGTTCCCAAACGACATTGATTGTTTATGCTATGTTTGAAAACTTCGAACAAGGAACCTGTGTTTCCATTAATAAGACTTGACTTATATGATTCAAGATATTCTTTAAGTACATTTAAAATAAACAAAAACAACAACAACAAACAAAAACAATTGCTTTCTATAATGAAAATGATACTGGTACACCCTAAAGGTAGTCAATGTGAACATTTAAAACAGTTTTGAAAGGGTATAAAATACACTTTTGCTATTTGAAATTGAGAACTTGTAAAAGTGTACGATTCGGAATGCTGAAACGCTAATAAAATGATCACTGTGATATTACCTTGCTGTACGTACTTTTTCTCGGCGCTTCCGTGACTCGTGGATTTTTTTGTAAAAGCGAGAGATATATGTATGAATTAATCGCTTAAGTTTTTACAAAAATGGACTTTTTCTCAAGGTTATCGTTTCGAGAGAAAAGAAAATGCCACAATGCATATGAAAAAAAGTGAGGCTCATAAACATACATAAATGTGTTTATTTTTTTGAAAACATCTACAGAATAAATATGTAAAAAAAACAACAGCTCAAATGCATATAAAGGCATTGAACATATTAGTTTAAACATTGTTATAACTTCTGAGACTGAACAAGAGCATCACATGATTTTCGAACAAATATCACTATAGTAAATTAACAAAAAATGTTTTGTAACAATGCTTTTGAGGATAAATTGGTATTGATACAGTACACGGGGAATACAATATTAAGATTTAAATGTGTTTTAAACGGGTATGAAATGTAATTTAGCTATTCAAAATTGAGAGAAAAGGAAATTCGTATAGTATAAAAGTGTGATCAAGAAGTGGGTCAAGTTTGTCAATATTCACTATTTTTCTTATATACATGTATCTTATATAATTGTTTCTTGTCACTATATACAATGTATACACGTTATCATTTGCGCCCCTGGCACTAGTTTTGGCAGAACTTTACATTAAAACATGATAATAGTAATTACATGAACAGGAATATCCACAGATATGCTTATATAATGATAATCAATTCTAATATATAGCGATCAGTAGGTTACTAAACTATTAAGCTATAAGCCGATAGTTCCTTCTTGTTCTTTGTTGTTGTTGTTGTTGTTAGGTTTACCTGGTCAACTCTCTTATCAAATTGATAAACTTATTTCAACGTCCATTTCTTATATCTATTTATCATAAAACGTATGTATACAAAATAATACAGATAATTTAAATGACAAAGATACAAAGTTCAATACAAATTAAGTTCAATACAAATTAAATAAAGTGTATAGCACATTACGGTGGCGAAAAATCAACCAAGACACTTCGGATCAAATTATGAATGCTATTGTAAAATCTTAATCTTCTAAATTTTCATTTTAAATTCTACTAAAATGACTATGAAATCATGAACTCCTAATGATATCTACATTGTATATTAATCATACTTCTTTTGTTAACATTCGTTCGATACTTCAAAAGACATTCAATACGCATTTATGTAAATTTCACGTCTATTTTAAAACGCACTGTAAAGAAAAATGTGGTATACACTTGTATGGTTGTTTTCACTCCTGTTTTATTAGATTTATTATTCTTGTCAGCTTAAAAAGAAGTCTAAGTGTTGAATATACAAAATATTGAAATCAGGATGGTGTGTACTATGGTAACTTTATTATTTATCTACGTACACATTTCTACAGGTATGTTGATTTGTTATCAATAAATAAGTATAATTGCTTCAGTAGAGTCTTTGAATTTTACCATACTCTGTGAACTGTATTTTATATTGTTTTTAATAAAACATGAACTTTTTTTATTAGAAAAGAATATTTGTATACATATTATTAACTCTTACCGAACTTGCTTTTAGCAACTGCGAGTGAAGAAACTGGCTGTTCTAGTAGACGATGGGGCATCAATTGTAGGAACACGTGTCCTGAATTCTGCTCGTCAAACGGATGCGACAAAATCACCGGTTTTTGCTATGGATGTACCGGCGCTTTTCAAGGAAAGTACTGTGACATACCATGCCCTTCGCGATGTTCGTCTTGCAATCAATTTATTGGAGAATGTACAAGCTGCTATGATAGCTGGTACGGAGTTTATTGTGACATACCGTGTCCAATTAATTGTAACAGTTGTAGGAAATATGACGGTGCATGTTTGTCTTGTAAAGATGGCTGGTATGGAAATATATGTGACGGACGTTGCTTTTCATCACCAGGTTGTGCAAGAAACTATTGCACTATGTCAACTGGCGATTGTACTTACTGTAAGAATGGATGGTACGGATCAAAATGCAGGCAACAATGCAAGAAGTGTTTCGGTGCATGTTCAAAAGATTCTGGAGTATGTACTAAGTGTGTTTCAGGATTTTGGGGACCAGATTGCACAAAGAACTGTTTAGGGACGTGTGAAATGTGTGGTAGATATGACGGGAAATGTTTGCTGTGCCCGGACAAATACTGGGGACCAAGCTGCTCAAGCCTCTGTGACTCCGAAAACTGCGAGAGATGTGATGTGAATACAGGAATATGCAAAAAGTGTAAAGCAGGTTACTGGGGTAAGGACTGTGAGATACAATGTATCAATTGTATCGACAAAAAGTGTGATATTTCATCTGGCTTATGTGAAACGTGTCAGGAGGGGTATGCAGGCGAATATTGCAACATGAGATGTGACACGTCTAGGTGTTCAAATTGGTACTGCAATAAAAGACAGGGATTTGCCTGCTCCTCTTGTAAATATGGGTATTGGGGGAACTATTGTGAAAAGGAATGTATCGGAGAAAATTGTGGACAATGCAGTAAATCTGAGGGGATATGTATCACATGCACTTACGGATTTTGGGGAGATTCCTGTGAGAAGAAATGTCCAGTTAACTGCAGACAAAGCTGCAATAAAAGATCCAGTGCCTGTGATTATGTATGTGATGAGAGTACCTTACTTTACTACCAACAGTGTTCTTCAAGGACGTATTGTAAAGCAGGATATTGGGGATCATGGTGTGAAAATAAATGTTTAGAAGAAAGTTGCGAGAAGTGTGATGTATCATCTGCCTTTGGGCTTTGCTCCAAATGTAAGACTGGATTCTGGGGACATAATTGTTCTAGTAGATGCTCTATTGACAAATGTATTGAATGCAATATAGATGACGGTCACTGTACACTGTGCAAGAATGGATTTTGGGGAAAGAATTGCGATTTACAATGTCCTGATCGGTGCCGTTGTTGTGATGCTGTCTCTGGTATTTGTATGCAGGACAAGTGCTTGAACATAATCAACCAGCAGAATGTATCAGGTAGCCTTGTATTTTATTCTATAGAAGATGAATTAAACTTTTTTATAGAAGAAACGGCTCACATATGTATAATATGTATAACTGCTTTCGTTAAAAAAGTCATCGTTATAGTATAAGAATATATAAAGCCTTTTAACATAAAAATCTAATTCATCTGTTTATACATTGAGTATAGTAAGTTTAAAGCGTAGCAAAACACAGCTGAAATCATATTTTCTTTAATTTTCTCTTTTAGATAATGACACATTGACGATTGGTGATATTGTCATGATTGTTTGTTTAATATTCGTAGCGGTTGTCTTGGTTATCATATTTATTTTCTGTTTGAGAAGGTAGGTCTTACATTATGACGTTATTGAAATTATTAAAAATGCAATTAAAATAAGATTAGATTGAAAAAATAGGTGATAAAAATTAAGACATTAACACAAATCGTTTCTTGAATATTGGTTCAGATAGGGACAAAGCAAACTCCAGATCTCCCATTCAAGTTTCATTGGCATGGGATAAATAATAATGATAATAATAATAATAACATTATTATTATAATCATTATTATTATCATTATTATACATGTACACATATATCAAATACAGTAATCATGCATTTTGGTGATATTCATTGTGGGCTTAAAATGTAAACAAATTTATCCTACTCTATAACTTGCATAAGGTTTGTCAAAATACAAAATAAGCAATGAATTAATTGTTAGTGATATGAAAATATCATTTCAAGATCATTGCAAACAAATAATAACATTCAAAACGACTACGTAGTCATAATAAAATTGTCCTCTGAGTAATTTAGCAATTCTATTAAACTATCGAAACAGGTTTTTGTTTGCCGTAACTTATAGTATATTAAAGATAACACATTTCGAAACTTTGTAGCAACCCCTCACCCCCCCCCCCCCATCTCTAGGCATTCTTTGTGTTCAAGCTATATTCACCATTTAAAAATACAATACCTGTACATCCATCTAGATAAAAGAAATGCATAAGCAAATTATCATTTTTCTCAACTCTAAATGTTTTTCTTTGTAATCTTTTTCACATTTCAAGTTTGCCAAAAGTATGGGATTGTTAACAAGATATCTATTATAATTTTATTATTATTAAATGATCAGTTCCCAATATTTATAAGTCTGAAAGTCTCGTATCGATTTAGTGACCATACTGTTGTAAGATTATATAGTTTATTTTACGATGAAAAGTTGTTATATATGTTTTCTTGATTCAATTTTATATTCATTTCTATCTTGCAGTTGCACAAAACAAAAGTCCACTAAATCTGATGCAGACCACCCGAATATCATAGAATTATCCTATGGTCGTAAGGTTTTTTTACAGTGTCTCATATGAAATTAACTTAAATAATCACTATGATGAAATTAATGATAAAGTGATTTTTTTATGTTCTGATTTGCATTAAGCAGTGGAATATTTCGATAGGCATACAACTTTGATTTACATCCATGAAAAATGAACACAGTTTACAATCAGAATTTATGCAGTATCACCTTCTTGAATTGAACTATAAGCGACACTGATAATTCGTATGTATGTATCGATCAGTAAAAAGATTTTCTAATTTCATATTTTATATATATATGAATTACTTGCAGAAGTGGGTGGTAAAACGGAACGGAAGCCTACAGAAACAGAGACTGTTACTACGGTAACGGATTAAACATTATGATAGAAATATGGAAAGATCTACAAAATAATAGATATACTAGTACCTAATTAATGCAAATATTATGTAATGGTAGAGTGGAAAATTCTTTTAACATTAGTATTTGTTAAATGATTTTGATTAATTTATGAAGCTTATAACGTTATGCGACAGAAGTAAGAAAATTACACTCAAAACATTGAAAAGAATGTTCTAAAATGAAGAACTATTTGTTAATTTTACGTATTATTTAAATAGCTTTTCACTATTGAAAACCAGCCGTGATATTAACCCATTACGTTATATACACGCATTTTAACGCCTTTTTCACCCCCCCCCCCTTTGTTGTATCCAATGGTGAAAAAATGCCTTATTTAGGCTCCCAACACTTGTTTTTGTTTGAGAAATGTTGTTAAAAAGTGACCTCTTTTTCGGCGCGGTCCCCCAACCAAAAGATACATCAGGGGGTTGCCAGAAGGGGGATGTGACGCTTTGAACTTGATAATCATTTCCTTTGTTATATTATCTATATCAGCTAGGATCTAAATGTTATGAAAGCCTACTTTATGTTTAACTTGTTGAATAATCATGTTAACATTGATTTATACATTAAAGCATAATTTAAATAAAGTTTTATTTTCTGTGCAAAGTTCATTGTGTATGTGATTATCTTTTTCATTTTCTAATAAAGTACTGTAATGGCAAGCAATGAAATGAAATGCCCTTTTATAATAAATTGAACGGAAAGATAATTCCGTAATAAACATCATGTATCATTTATAAAGAATTATATGTAACGAGTCTTAAGACGTTATAAAGTGTGTTTGTGTTGATAAAAGAGGGTATTGAATGACTGTAAATTCAATACTGAATTTATTGAACGAGTTAAATTAAGTAATATTATATGAGCATTAGGCGTGCATAATATTAATTTTTTCAATGGGTTCAATGTATTCAGTAATGAACCTGCACGAATATAATATTTTTTTTATCACATACCCAAAATGAAAATGAATGATTTTTAATTGACGCGCATATAGTGTAACGCTAACATTTAGCGCGTCTTTACACTATGTATAACGCAAACGATGTCAATATAAAGTATATGCACGGCCCTACAATACCATTTTACGGAGGCGGAAAAGTATATTAAAGTTATAGCATGTGAAAAAGTAGCAGTTAACAGTAAGCTAAGCAAAAAGGCATTTCAACCTATAAAAAGGGAAAAAAATGTTCTGCCAGAATGCTCAGCTGGCTAAGCAATCTAGCAGGACACTCTTAAATGTATAGTAAAAATGCTCTGCTGGAATAGCTAGAAAAGCAATCTAGCGGGTTATTCCTTAATATAGTGTAAAAAATGCTCTGCTTGAATGTTCAGCTGACTAAGCAAAAAGTGGGCATTTTTAAACATAATATTGAATTTATATGCTGTAATGCCGAACTAGTGGGACATTCTATAACATAATGTTATAGCGTTTTTGCTGGAATGCCAAGCAGGCAGATTGTTATAGCGGGACATTTCTAAAAAGTGTGTAAAAATACTCAACTGAAATGCTCAGCTGGCAGAGCAATCAAGCAGAGTATTCTGAAACAAAGAGTAAAAATGCTCTTCTTACTAGAGTGCTTAGCTGGCTAAGCAATCTAGCCGGGCATTCCAATATTTGATGTAGAAATGCCCTGCTGAAATACCGCGCTGGTAGAGCAATCAAGCTGAGCATTCCTAAAAGAAGTGTAAAAATGATGCTCTGCTGGATTTTTCAGCTGGCAGAGAAATGTAGCAGAGCATTCTGAAATTAAAGTAAAAATGATGTGCTAGAATGCTCAGCTGGCAGATCATTCAAGTAGAGCATTGTCAAATATAGTGTAAAAATGTTCTGCTGGAATGCTCAGCTGACTAGGTATTCTAGGAGTGCATTTCTAGATAGAGTGCAAGAAATTCCCTGTGCAATGCTCAGCTGGCAGAGCAATCAAGCAGAGTATTCTGAAACAAAGAGTAAAAATGCTCTTCTTACTAGAGTGCTTAGCTGGCTAAGCAATCTAGCCGGGCATTCCAATATTTGATGTAGAAATGCCCTGCTGAAATACCGCGCTGGTAGAGCAATCAAGCTGAGCATTCCTAAAATAAGTGTAAAAATGATGCTTTGCTGGATTTTTCAGCTGGCAGAGAAATGTAGCAGAGCATTCTGAAATTAAAGTAAAAATGATGTGCTAGAATGCTCAGCTGGCAGATCATTCAAGTAGAGCATTGTCAAATATAGTGTAAAAATGTTCTGCTGGAATGCTCAGCTGACTAGGTATTCTAGGAGTGCATTTCTAGATATAGTGCAAGAAATTCCCTGTGCAATGCTCAGTTGGCAGAGCATTATAGTATTTAGGAGAGAATTTTTATACAATATTTCAGAATGCTCAGATAGGTTGCCCTGTCAGCTAAGCATTCAAGCAGAGCTTTTCTGCACTTTTTTTAAGATTGCCCAGCTAGATTGCTTTGCCAGCTCGGCATTTTAGCAGAGCAATTTAAACTAGTTAAGGATACACTGCGAGACTGCTTAGCCAACTAAGCACCAAGCAAAGCATTTTTGCACAAGTTTTAGGAATGCCCCGCTAGATTGCTCGCTCTGCCAGATTGACATTCCGAATGGCAACCCTAGCAATGGGACAAGTCATTGTTTCCTTGCGCAAATAAGTTAACACTCATTTCGGTGATAATGATTCATCAGAATCAGACACATTTAATTAGTTATAATTAAATCAGTTTTGCAATCACCGAATACACACAGAGATACAAATTAGTTGTGTTTTTTTAAATCAAACTCCTTCATGTATCATGGAATGCAAAAAATGAGGTTTCTTGACCAAAATTTTGATTTTCACTTTTTTTTTTTAAATTTCTGAATCTATGAAATATCAGAAGTAATTCCTGAAAATTTGAAGGTCGTTTTTTTTCTTATTTACGAAGATATACATAATTTTGTGTGTAAAGTGTCCAGTAAGTAATTAAAATACACATAAGAATCTTTGATATTTGTAATGTTTAAAGGTGCATGAGGAAAACAACTTATGAAGCTAAAATGAATTTTGTGAAAAAATTGTTTTATGTTATTAAAGTGAATGAATGTTGTACATAGAATATATTTGGAATACAGCCACCATAATTAAAGCATATTCCTGGGTTCTTACTGGCCTTTTCCGTGTAAAAAAATGTGCTAGGTTTATTAATTGCAATTCTAAAATTTTCATAATAATAAATCTGAAGGTGTGCTGCTTTAAAAAATGCGTTACGTCCTTATCCACAATTTGAGAGCTATATGCTTCTTTTTTTCTGTTTATTGTTAATTTTAAGTATGCTTTGAATATCAGATAATGATTTTGTTAAATGATGTGAAAAAAGATGAATTTAGGAGTTAAAGTGATGTCGATTTCATATTGTTTTTGATGAAACACTTAAAAGAACACAACTGAGGTATTTTTGACATGACGGGACTGGATATATTTTTCCGAGATATGAATAAAAATTTCTGCTGGACAAGTTACGTTTTTGCAAATATTCAGATCATTTCTTCAGTCTGATTTACCAGAATCAAGATTTTTATTGTGTAAAATGAATCAAATATAAAAAGCCTTGCAACGCTTTTCACTCGTATCAAGCTAATAATTGCATCAAAAACATATCTGAGTCTTTCCCTTTGTTATTCTTTCAGGTCTTTCCTTTTCAAGTTCTTCACTTGATCTGTAAAAACTTTAAATATCATTTGATTAGCCTTTTAGATCTCAGTAAGGCTACTTTTATCTTATTGCAAAATATAATACTTATCACTCACTATAAATCATGCAACTAGTGGGATTTTTTTTATATCTGACACAACTGTCTTGATTTGAACAGTTGGATTAAGAGTGACCAAAATCCTGCCATTTTTTCATTGTCGGTGGATGAATTGTGGGTAATGGTTTTGGTTTTCGCTTTACTTAAATAATTGAAAAATTGATTTTTTAATAAAAAACTAAAAATGGATTATTCTTTTGTTTGAAAATGTTTTCTGGTAAATATAAAGGAAATTACGTTCCATTGAGAGAGGATTTTGAACTACAAATTGCAAGAGAGGGAGCTCGCCTCTTTCCCCAGTATACATTTTGGTTAAAAAATTGTAACTTTTTGCAGAGCTACGATCTTGAAATCGGGTTATTGTACATAGCGCTAGACATTCCAATTTTTTTAATGAAGACAATTTTTTCGAGCTGGAAAATAATATACATGTATCTGTTTTCATATGCTTGACAATTTGACAAAACTATTTTCTGTGCCACTGCCGGTATTAATAGCAAACGAAATGCATCGGCACATGTTTTTTCTCGGCGTCGCGAATTATGTCTTAAATTTCTTTTTTCTAGACGAATACGATCCGTACAAGTTGTTATCTGAACTATTCAACTATTTGACTAAGGCATGTATTAACTTAAACATTTTAATGAAGAAATAAAATTGAATTTCATATTAACAGACTAGTGTAATAAGATATTATAAAGACTATCCTTCCTCCTAACATTTCAACTACTTGACTGTTTAACATTATTCTGTAGTCTGCATAATATGTGTAGACTCTTTCGCCACATTTATTTTAAAGGTCCTTTCTTTTAATAGATAAATGCCCCTGATTTATAGGGACATTATTACTTTGTCCAGGGTCTTTCAAATAGAATGGTCTGGAAATACCCGATGTAAACACTTCTAGCTACAAAAAACTTGTCTCGGTATAACTCGGTATAGTTTGCTATATGCAAATTATGTAAGCGTTCAAGAACAGAGTGAAAATTAAATACAAGAGTAAACATGAAAGTTCTAACGACATGATGTTCTTTAAAAATCTTTAAACTTGTGAAAAATATATAAATATTTCAGAAAATAATGTTTTTAAAGCCATAATCTATTAAAAAATATAGATTGCTTATTCAGAATATTTGCTGGAAAACGGCGCCATTTTGAAAATGCGCCAAAGTAAACATAAAATATTTGTAAATAAAATTGTGAAATATTATAAAATCTTTACATGATACGATTCAATATTTTTTCTCTGAAAAATCAATTTTTATTTTGTCATTGAACTAAGCATAAAATTTAAACAAGCCTATGAAACTCGTGCCTATTTTCAAATATAAACTGTAGATTTTTACCTTGACACTGGGAACGTTAAATTTCTTATTTCATTGCAAATCTATACAAGTGTTACTTTTCAAATTAAAAACTGATGGTGTAATGCATTCAGGATTAGTTTTCAGTATTTTTTTTATTGATTTAACCAAAGGGCAGGACGTGAAGTGGTTGCACACTTGGTTCAAGCGAGCGAATTAGTTACAAACTTGACAAAATGGCGAACACAGCGTGATTTTTTGAAACGGGTGAGCGAATTTTTGCCAGGCAAGTGGTTTTTTTGTTATTTTGAAGTTCATTAGTATGTCTATTCCATAATGCAATATATATGCCACACTCGGTTAAGGTTTCAGTATCCTAGATTTCTGTTTTGACGAAGTTATTGAAGATATTAACTGATCATGTAGATATTTTGAAATTTGACATGCGACTGTTCTGGTCGGTTTTTCTCCTAATTTATTCGAATTTGTAAGTTTTGAACTGCATTTAACAATAACAAAATATGTTTC